TTAATCATGGAAATTTTACAGAATTCTTGAATTATGCATGAATAGTAATTATTACTTCCAATAATTCATTCAATAAACATATACTGTTAGCTAATTTTGTTCCACGCACTTTCTTTCTCTAATTTGAAGACCAAGTTGATTTAACTCTTTAGAAGTTTTTTTATGGTGTAATATGTTTGGATCAAGTAAGTGATTTGTCAGTACATCATCAGATCTAACTTTACTTCAGTACTCATTTTCCTATATTTTGACTTAAATCAATAACTGACATGGTGGCTCAGTGGTTAGCACTGCTGCCTCCCAGTGCCAGGGACCCAGGTTTGATTCCAGCCTTAGGCGATTGTGTGGAGTTTGCACATTCTCCCTGTGTCTGCGTGGGTTTCTGCTGGGTGCTCCAGTTTCCTCCCAAGTCCAAAGGTGTGTAAGTTAGGTTGATTGGCCATGGGAAATGTAGGGTAGGGGGATGGGTCTGGGTGGTCTGCTCTTTGGAGAGTTAGTATGGACTTGTTGGGCTGAATGGCCTGTTTCCACACTGTGAGGATTCTATTATCTTTAGTTGCAATTTAGATAAACCATTGACCTCAAGTCTATTTGATAGCTTCAACAACTGCAGTGATGTGGGCAGACAAAGTCTTGCAATATATCAAACTGAATTTCCTCTTTTACTGGAACAATTATGTTTTAATTCAGCTCAAACTACTAACCTCTTGCAGCATAACAATTTTAGAAATTACAATACTTAAATGCCTCTCTGATGTCTCCAATAAGCAAGCTGTACCGTAGAGTAAGATCTCACTTAAAGTTGTACTTGCATTTCTGAAAACTGCAACTTCAAATGAAACAGCTTTAAGTAATTTGATTCTTCCATCACAACCAATGTAAGAAATGGCTTGCTTATTTGGACAGCTGGTTTTTGATCAGGAGTGATGCAAATAGTGCAGGTTCAATTCCTCACTCGAGGCATGATGACCCCAGGTTGAACTCACCACCAATCATCTCTTTCTTATGAGACAACAGCCCAATGGTCCTCTCGCACTACAATGACTTTATTTTACTAAAGGTCTGCAGCATAGAAGAAAGGTCCTTGAGCCAATTAAGTCCGTGCTGGTCAAAAACAAGTATCTAACTATTCTAATCCCATTTTCCCGTAAGATCTTGTTTCTTAGTGATCATTATTATAGTAGTGTGTTACAAACCTATCCAACATCAGGTTATTTTACATCAAGCGTTGTGCAATGAGGTAGGATTAATAAGAGATTTTGCAGTTAAGGATCTTCTAGGGGGGTTAGCAATTATGACATTGAAGAATTCCAAATCCAATTTGAGCGAGAGCACCTTGGGTCTCAAACCAGTGCCCTCAACATAAAGAAAGGCAATTATAAAGGGATGGAGAAAGCTGTGATAGTGGGCTGAGAAAACAGACTGAAAAGGAAGGTCAATAGATAAACCCTGGCAGACATTTAGATAAATACTTCAATGGAGAAAGACTCCATTGAAAGTACAGCACAGAGGAACCTGGGTGTTCTTGTGCACGTGACATAAGAAATTTGCATGCAAGCACCCCATGTAACTGCGAAGGCAAATATAACTTTGGCCCTAGGGGGTTGGAATTTAAATATAGAAAAGTCTTGTTACAACTGTACAGGATGTTGGAAGACTGCACCTGAAGCTGTGTACAGTTTTGGTTCTCATATTTAAGCAAGGATATACTGGTGTTGAAGGCTGTCAAAAGAGATTCACTAGGCTAATTTCTGGGATGAAAGGGTTAACTTCTCAAGTATAGTGAACAGGTTAGGCCTTTATTCATTTCAATTTAGAAGCATTAAGTGAACAGTGCCACTCCAGTACTCGTGGAGCCCGTTAAACAGATACAAATCTAAAAATCAAAAAAGAGACTGTGAGGACTATTTCACAGTATTTCTTTTCACAAGATTGTGTAAACATAATTAATAAAGGAAGGAAGAAAAAGCTTTTCAAGTATCTATTTAAAGAATTGGAAGGTTTTTTTATTACAAAAGGAAATTAATAAAGTAGTTCAGATTTAAAGATAAGAAGGCCTCTAAGACCATATTAGACATCTGTCAGATGCAATGAACCAAACTCATCATGCCTTGAGCACCATTCTGGAAAAGCAGCTAGAAGGTCCAAATGCTCAAACTCATGACTGGATGTAGAATTAATTTTCTATTACAGCTATACTTAAGGCAATGATCAATCTTTGGTTTGCAGCTGCAAACCATATCACAAAGCCCACTGCCAGCTGTCTTGGGTTGCCCTATGACTGCAGCAAGAGAAAAGTTTGGAAGTATCCTTTTGTACCTCATGCACAGGGATTGAGTCTATTCAAAGCACAGTAAAATCTGAAAAATCTAGGGGCAGTCCTTCAGGAACAAAGCCCTAATATAAAAGGTGTACTCCTTCCTAAACTGTGAACTACTTGGGAATGGAAGATTTCCCAGGCACAAAGAAATAAACCTACCCTAAGAACAGGAGAAGTCCTAGCACCATTACATAGCTCAGTCTCTAACTGTTTTCTTAGTACAGGGCTAATTCTGTGCAGTTACTGGCTCATAAAGAATACGTTTTGTTAAAAAAAAAGGCAAGTGTACATCACTTAATTTTCTAGGTAATAACATCATTCAAGGTGTTCTCCATCTGAAAACACAACAAACTGATTTGGAAATCAATTGATATCTCAGAATGATCAAAAGACCACTATTTAATCAAGACCATCAGCTATAGGAGCAGAATTAGGCCATCCCACCCATTGAATCTGCTCCACCATTCCATCATGGCTGATATGGATCCCACCCCATTTCTCCTGCCTTTTCCCTGTAACCCTTGATCCCCTTATTAATCAAGAACCCGTCTCTCCTAAATACACTCAATGATGAATTCCACAGATTAACCGTCCTCTGACTGAAGAAATTCTTCCTCATCCTAGTTCTAAAGGGTCACCCCTTCACTGAGGTTGTGCCCTCAGGTCCTAGTCTCTCCTACCAGTGGAAACATCTCCACATCCACTCTATTCAGGACTCTCAATATTTTGTAAGTTTCAAGGAGATCTCCCTCATCCTTTTGAACTCCATCAAGTACAGTTGGAGTCCTCAACTGCTCCTTATATGACAAGCCTTCCATCTCCAGGATCATTCCTGTAAATCTCTTCTGGACCCCCTCAAAGGCCAGCACATCCTTCTCCATGTATGGGAGCCAAAACTGCTCACAATATTCCAAATGCAGCCTACTATAGCCTTATACAGCCTTGGCAATAAATCTCTGCTCTTGTATTCTAGCCCTCTTAAAATGAATTCTAACGTTGCATTTGCCTTCCTAACCGCGAACTGAACCTGCATGTTAACCTTAAGAGAATCCCGAACTAAGACTCCCAAGTTCCTTTCTGCTTCACATTTCCAAAGATTTTCCCAATTTAGAAATTAGTCTACACCTGTATTCTTTCAACCAAAGTGCATAACCTTACACTTTCCCACACAGTATTCCATCTTTCACTTCCTTGCCCACTCTCCCAGCCTATCCAAGACCTGCTGCAGCCTCCCACCTACTCAGCACAACTTGTCCCTCCATCTACCTTTGTGTTATCTTCAAACTTAGCAACAATGCCCTCAGTTCCTTTGTCCAACTCGTTAATGTAGATCATGAATAGTTGTGGTCCCAACACTGACCCCTTTAGAACTCCATCAGTTATTGGCTGCCATCCTGAAAACAACCCCTTTATTCCCACTCTCTGCCTTCTGCCTTCTGCCAGTCAGCCAATCTCTAAACATGCCAGTACCGTGCCCCTAACATCATGGGCTCTTATTTTATTCAACAGTTTCCTGTGTGGCATCTTGTCAAAGGCCTTCCGGAAATCCAAACAGAGCATATCCACTGGCTCTCCTTTGTCAAAGGAACTGTGTTGCAACTAACACCATAGGCAAATTAATGAGGTGGACTGGAAGATATGGCTGTAGAAGGTCCTACAAGAAATTGTGGTTCATTTAAGAGCTAATGATAGCTTAATGCATGGACTGCAGAGTCGTTAGCAACTGACAAAGCAAATATTGGGTGCTCAAAAAGCCTTGGACAGTTTAAGAAAAATTGTTGTCGCAGGCAGGTTGCTTAGTTATGTACTGACAACATCTTACTTTGTTTCAAAATGTTGCCTTATAACACATCTCAATAGTACATCATTATAAACTTATTACTGTGGTGAAGATGGAAATTAACAGCATTCTGCCATCTGCTCATACATTGTCCAAATACATGGAGCAACCTAATTTTTCTTGAGGACACTCTGCATTGCAGTTTGGACAAAGTGTTTTCTTGCCTAGGTTTTTAAAAGTGATAAAGAAACATAACAAATAGTGTTAACAGATTCACGCATTCACATGGTGAGCATTGGGATATCCTCCTTTCCATCACTTTTAAAGATTATGTCCTGACTTTAACTGTTTCAGATGGATGCAAATAGTCAGCAGTGGTTAATTTCAATAGCAGGAAAGCACAGGTTCACTCGAGGAAATAGAGGAAGTGAGGGGAGGTTTAGTGGTTTCCCAAGCTCACGGTTAGGCTTATTCTTTACTTTTCTTTCTTACCTCCTTAATCACTCACTCATTGATTCATTTTCAGCCTGAATTTGGCAAAGGGTGAGTGCTCAGCCTAACCCACCTGCACACAAGTGTGCATACGACCAAACAGCTAAAATAGCAATACCCCGATTGGCTGTACTTGCATGACTGAGGCAGCCATCCTTAAAGCGAGACACTGAACACGTGCTCTCCTCATCCACTTCTCTCACCAAGCACCACAGAGTAAGTGAACACTTAAAAAGTACATTTATACACTTTCAGAAAGATGAAATAATCTGAACACAAACAGTTGTGGAGAAATGCTTCTGTATTAATGCTGTAGCTTTTGATGTCTATGCCTGGCTAAGGTAATTAGTATTAGCATGATTATGTACCTATGCACATTTAATTCAAACTTTCTGTAAGCAAACCTACCAATTAATAATTGCACAATGTTTGAACCCGCATACTTCTTCACATCTTCTATCCACCGTGGCACAGATTCAAAAGATCCCCGTTTGCTAATGTCATAAGCAACAATCGCACCATTAGCACTTCGATAATAACTCTGTGTAATTGTCCTAAAACGTTCTTGTCCAGCTGTGTCCCATATCTGCAACTGTAACAGGAAAACAAAAATAACAATAAAAAAAGGAAACAAGAACACTGTTCAACAATGGCTCGGTGGTTAAACTAACCACAAGGCAGAATTGAGACCCAGTTACATTCTTCACATCTTCTTAAAGGATGATGAAATACGAGTGAAATAAGGATTCGAGAATTTGAACTAGTTTTTTTTTCCTTTCATGGGATGTGGTTTCTGCTAGCCTTTTTGCCTTTTTTTTGTCCAGTGAGTGGTTAAGACTACTTCAATGCACACCTGGCTGGTCTTCCATCTTCCACCCTCCATAAAGATTACCACATTCAGTACTCTACCATCTGTTTCTTTAATGAAAGGAGATCTCAGAGCATCACCCATTAGCTCATTAACCTGTACTGGTTCCCAGTTTATCATCACTTTGACTTTCCTTTCACAGGTTTTCTTGCATCAGAAGGCTCCAAATAAATACAAGTTGTTGTATAGCACAAATGCCGGTCGTTAGGTTGCAGACATCAATAATTGAAACTGTCAAGTTAGAGGTGGCTCCAATATCATAGCATAGGAGTTCACCCAGCTGTCAAAGTAGTAGCACATCAACTGAAATTATTTTGAAGCCCTGTCATTCACACCATTGAATGATACACTTTGTTTTGATGCCCAAGGTGAACTTTACACTGCAACTACATCCAATTCAAGGTAAAACACCATAACTGAATGACTTAAAAAAACTGATGTTAAAAATGAAAAGGTTTAAAAAAAGTGTTGCTAAAAGAGATCTGAAAACAGATTACCTAAGCACTGCCATCCATCCCTTGACGGTTTTGGCACATGTAAAGAACACATATCTAAATCACATCAATTTTTTTTAAAAAGCCAATATGAAAAGACATATTTGCAATACATACCTACTTCCTCACGTAAAATAAGTTTAGTTTCAAAATACATTCCTCTCGCAATTGGCAGCTTGCACTGTAATGTGAATTATTTATTCATTAACCTGAGTATTACCTCTCAGTGTGCGACAGACTAAATTTCACTCACCTGCTTGGGCTGCAAGGTTTTTTTTAAGGAGAGCAGGGGGTGAGCTCTCACCAATGATCATCTAAGAGGTGTAATAATAAATATGAGCACACACATTGATGATAACATATTTATATTAACCATATAACCAAAAAACCTACATTATGTAATATGTCAGTCTGCCAAGTTTCTATTTCCTGTTTAAGATAAGCTGCAAAGTAAAACATTTTCTTTTCCTGCTACTTTGGGTGCTTCATAGCCTCACGTAAAACGTTTCAATTCCTCTTTGAGGCAAAAGTTTAAGGTGGCACAAAGGAACCAAATAAGTTTAAACTCAAAGTGCTGAAGAAGCTCAGCAGGTCTGGCAACATCTATAGAGAGAAACAGAATTAAGATTCCGAGTTAGATTTGACGCTTCTTCAGAACCGTCTGTTTTAAACAAAAAATCAGATCGCCAGCATCCAGAGTATTTTGCTTTAATTAAAGGAGATGTACACTTTGTCAACATCTCAAAGTCCAAAGTGACTCATCCTTGACCTGTGGGGGTTTGGATGCAGCAGACGAGAGATTTTGTTAATAAATTGTGTTGGATTCTGACAAGACCCATCGAACGAGTGAAGAGATCGTGTGTGTGTGTGTGCTGAACAGTATGCAAAGTTCAAATGGATTCATGCTGCTGGTTAAAAAGAAATGCAATAATAAGAAACCCAGCCAAGCCCTGGTCTTGGGAAGATGTTGAAAAGTGAGCGAACTCGGACCTGCCGCCAGTGCATTAGAACCAGCGGGCGCTGCACCAGCATCAAAGGCTGCAGCAAACGGACGGGTGAAAGCAGATGCTGTGCTTCGAACTTACTTTCACCCGCTTGCCTTGAATTTCTAAGGTTTTCATTGTAAAGTCCACCCCGATCGTGTTGCCTTGTTTCTCCACGAAAATGCCCGATTTGAAACGCTGCACGACGCAGGTCTTGCCGACGCCGGCGTCTCCGATCAGAACGATTTTAAAGAGGAAATCGTAAGGCTCGTCCGGATCCACAGGCCCCGACATCTTTTCAGTTGCCCGGCTCACCGACAGACGAAGACTTTCGGACGCGTGAGGGAGCAGCGGGCTCCGGAGGAGCACAATAACGAGAGTAATCTCCCAGAGCCCGCACTCTGAGGGACATGACGTGGATGTGGAAAGTCCGGAACCGACGGAAAACGTTCCCGAGAGATCCGCCGCAAGGACCCTCCCCCCTCCGGCCGCCCGCCGCACTGCCTGAGCGCAATCCCATGCAATCGATAGGGCACTTGCACCTAGCTGGCCCAAATGCGCCGGCAGGACCCAGCGCCGTGGCGCACTTGTCTAGCCTACCTGTTCAGAGATAGTGAGGACTGCCGATGCTGGAGTCAGAGATAACACAGCGTGGAGCTGGAGGAACACAGCAGGCCAGGCAGCGTCAGAGTGGCCTGCTGTGTTCCTCCAACTCCACGCTGTGTTATCTCTAACCTACCTGTTGCTGGGAGCCTCGGTATTCGGACATGCCCAAACTGCAAGTGATTTCATCGCCTTCTTCAGAGCGAAGAGACCTGTAACGGGACTATAGGAAATAGGAGCAGGAGTAGGCCGCTCGGCCCCTCGAGCCTGCTCCGCCATTCAGCTCAATCATGGTGGATATTCAACCTTGATTTGAAGGTGCCGGTGTTGGATCGGGGTGGACAAAATCAGAAGAGACACAACGCCACGTTACAGTCCAACTGGTTTATTTGAAATCACAATCTTCTGCAGCGCTGCTCCTTCATCTGGTGAAATGGAAGGAATTGCACGAGCACAGGATTTAAAGGCCGAGAGATCATTGCAAGATAATTCTAGTTAATTAAGTCAAAAGATAGTACAAATGGTGTGAGTGGAGTGTCCACATGCTGAATAACAAGTCTTTGCAGGTGATCAAAAGTGTCAAATGGCGTGAGTAAAGTATCAATAGCTGAATAGCAAGTGAAGGGATGACCTAAGATGCAATTAGTTAAGGCAGAGAGATAATTACAAAAAAATCAAAAATAAAATAGTGCTAGAGACAAACAAAATGGCTGGAATAACATGATAGGCATAAATGTCGCATGACGAGGATCTAACCAAAGTAACAAGTAATCCAAAACTGTACAAGCTCATTAAGGTGGAGAGATCATAACAAGTTATCAATGTGAAAGCGTCAAAACAGAACAGTAAGGAAGATTTTACAAACACAGAACAGTGTGGCGAGGTTACATGTAGCACGGCATGAACCCAAGATCATCGTTGTGGCTGTGTTAATGGGTACAAAACTTGGCTATCAGTTTCTGCTCGGCAATTCTGTATTGTTGTGTATGCTGTCTTAGAGGACGCTTACCTGAAGGTTGAATGTCCTTGACCACTGAAGTGTTCCCTAACTGGAAGGGAACACTCCTGCCTGGCAAAGAATATTCAACCTCAAAGTGATTTTCTCCATGTCCCTTGTGTCTTTAATATTTAGAAATCTATTGATCTCTATCTTGAGCATACACAATGACTGAGATTTCACAGCTTTCTGGGGGGAGAATTCCAAAGGTTTGTGGCACGGGCATCTGCCAAACTGGTTGTTATTGCTGGTGCTTGGGCAAATTGCTTCCGTTTGCTTGGGAATGTTTGGGGTATCTGCAGCCAACCATGCAGAAACCATAGCCTGCCCCCCCAATCAATACATATTCACAAGTGTGCATACCTTTACTTCTATGAAAAAAATTGACAAATAAAACTGCATAAATTAAAAAACTGATTGTTCAAATGCACTGGAAGCTTTTTTTTAATAATTTAAAATGGATAATAAAACAAATTGATGCAGAACTTAAACTTTGGTCCTTTCAGAGTTGCTGCCAGACCTGCTGTGCAGTTCCTACATTTTCTGTTTTCATTCTAATTCTCCTTCCATATCTTATGGTCTGCCTTTATGCTTCAGCCTTCCACGAACAGTGAATACTGTGAGGTGCTGGGGTACAACATTACTCTCCCCCCGCCACCGAAATGAAATTTTAATTTAAATTTTGTAAATTCCCTTTGAGATTTTGACTTCTATCACTGTTCTCCTTAGGGTCAAAGAGGCCAACCCCAGGACTGTTTTAATTTGATTCATTGGTTTTATTCAATAGGGTAGAAAGGGGGATAACTGGCAAAGATTACCTCATACTCATCTGATTCTGACTAATCTCAAGGAACACTGAGTAAGAATGCATTGCAGGTTGATGACTTATTTTGAACTCTCAGCTTATCAGTTAATGGAGCAAGGCATGTTCACTAAAACCCCATCTTCCCTCATGGCCAAGGTACACATTTTCTTGGACTGTATCAGCTATGTCCACACACACAAGACAAACAGTCCTAGGAAAGGACTCCACTAGCAGGTTTGGAGTGGTGTGGGAGGGTGTAGCTGGAAACTGCCTGATAGTTGCTTCATGCCAAGGGCACATTGACACATTCTTCCTCCACCTTACATGAGGTGAAGATGATTAATGTATGTGGGAAGGGGTATTGTTAGGTTAGAAGGTAAGGTAATCCAACAGTAAGTAGTAGATGCCTCCAAGCTCCTGTGATGGTGGCAGCAAGGAGTCTTCTAAGAACCACAACATATAGAATGAGCTTTGAGCCTTGGCGAGGTCAGGACAAAGCTTTGTGGGGACATAAGCCGGAGCTTCATGGGGAAGGATGTCAGGACTAAAGCACTCCTTTACCAAGACAATACACTTTCACTTACTGTTCACACAGATCCTCTGGAAGTGAAATAAATATGGAAGAGGTCAAACAAATAGTTCTTACTGCCACATAAAGCAACAGAGACAACCACAGCAACAGCAGTAGCTGTCATAAGGTGCCACACTTCAGCAGGAGAAGCAGGACAAGAACCCCAATGTCACTGACAGGGTGGCAACCCCATCCCAACAGCCCAAAAGTAAGAGCTGCCCTTAATTTCTTTGCCCGCTGAGCTTTTCAGGGAACTGTTTGGGCATTTCACAATCCACAACTTTGGAGGTCACTAATGCTCCTTTCCCAACACCTGCCAGTTTGTCTTTCTCTTTTGATACAGGGATTCTCAGTGATTGCTAGTTTCCTGCAAGTTCAGGATGCAAATGATTGCACCAAGAGAATAACCTGGGAACCCTAACATAAACCAGCAGTCTTCATTAACACTCTCTTATATTTACATAAACCAGTGGTCATCAGTAACACTCTCTTATATTTATTTTAATCAATACGTTCAGCTATCTTGTGACACACATCTGGGAAAGGTGGGACTTGAACCCAGGCCCCCTGGTTCAAAGGTAGGGACATTACCACTGTATCACAAGTGGTCTCTAACACTCCCTTAAATGTTCAAATCATTTGTGACACTATAGGCAGCTAATGCAGGACTGTATTAGACATCCAGGAAGCTGCCATGACCTTTACGTTTTGGAACATTCACAGCTGCCAGCCTTTTTAAAAAGGCCATCAGCCCATACAAGATAACAAGGTGTAGAGCTAGATGAACACAGCAGGCCAAGCAGCATCAGAGGAGCAGGAAAACTGACGTTTCGGGTCTGGACTCTTCTTCAGAAATAGGGGAGGGGATGGGGATTCTGAAGTAAATAGAGAGAGAGGGGGAGGTGGATGGAAGATGAATAAAGGAGCAGATAGGTAGAGAGGAGATGGACAATTCAAAGAGGCGGGGATGGAGCCAGTAAAGGTGAGTGTAGGTGGGGAGTTAGGGTGGGGGTCGGTCAGTCCAGGGAAGACGGAGAGGTCAAGTAGGCGGGAATGAGGCTGGTAGATAGGAGGTGGGGGTGGGGCTTGAGGTGGGAGGAGTGGATAGGTGGGAGAAAGGACGGACAGGTTAGGAAGGCGGGGACGAGCTGGGCTGGTTTTGTGATGCAGTCAGGGGCGGGGAGATTTTGAAGCTTGTGAAGTCGACATTGATACCATTGGGCTGCAGGGTTCCCAAGTGAAATATGAGGGGCTGTTCCTGCAACCTTCGGGTGGCATCATTGTGGCACTGGAGGAGGCCAAGGATGGACATGTCATCCAAGGAATGGGAGGGGCAGTCCACAAAGCAGTCCCCAAGCCTCCGCTTGGTTTCCCCGATGTAGAGGAGGCCACATTGGGAACAGCGGATACAGTATACCAGATTAGCAGATGTGCAGGTGAACATCTGTTTGATGTGGAAGGTTTTCTTGGGGCCTGGGATGGGGGTGAGGGGGGAGGTGTAGGGGCAGGTGTAGCACTTCCTGCGGTTGCAGGGAGAAGTGCCGGGGGTGGTGGGGCTGGTGGGGAGTGTGGAGCGGACAAGGGACTCACAGAGAGAGTGGTCCCTCCAGAAGGCAGATAAGGGTGGGGAGGGAAAAATGTCTTTCGTAGTGGGGTCGGATTGCAGATGGCGGAAGTACTGGAGGATGATGCGTTGGATCTGGAGGTTGGTGGGGTGGTACGTGAGGACGAGGGGGATTCTGTTTTGGTTGTTATTATGGGGAGGGGGTGTGAGAGATGAGTTGCGGGAAATGCGAGAGACGTGGTCGAGGGCATTTTCGACCACTGTGGAGGGGAAGTTGCGGTCCTTGAAAAACGAGGACATCTGGGACGCCCGGGAGTGGAATGCCTCATCTCGGGAGCAGATGCTGCGGCGGCAGAGGAATTGGGAATAGGGGATGGCATTTTTGCAGGAAGGTGAGTGAGAGGAGGTGTATTCTAGGTAGCTGTGGGAGTCGGTAGGCTTGAAAAGGATATCAATTTCCAGGTGGTTGCCACAGATGGAAACAGAGAGGTCCAGGAAGGAGAGAGAGGTATCGGAGATGGTCCAGGTGAACATAAGGTTGGGGTGGAAGGTGTTAGTGAAGTGGATGAACTGTTCAAGCTCCTCGTGGGAGCACAAGGCGGCGCCAATATAGTCATCGATGTAACGGAGGAAGAGGTGGGGGATAGGACCAGTGTCGCTTCGGAAGAGGGATTATTCCACGTATCCTACAAAGAGGCAGGCATAGCGTGGCCCCAAGCGGGTATCAATGGTCACCCCCTTTGTCTGTAGGAAGTGGGAGGAATTGAAGGATTAAATCAAAGGACCTCTCCGTTTCCATCTCTGAGTTTTCATCCTTGACCTGTCCGTCTCCTCTCCACCTATCTGCTCCTTTATCCATCTTCCATCTGCCTCCCGCTCTCTCTCTACTTATTTGAGAATCCTCTTCCCCTCCCCCATTTCTGAAGAAAGGTCCAGACCCGAAACATCAGCTTTCCCGCTCCACTGATGCTGCTTGGCCTGCTGTGTTCATACAGCTCTACACCTT